GCTCAGCCAGTGAGCAACCGGCCATCCCTATATGGGATCCGAACCTGTGGCCTTGGTGTTATCAGCACCGCACTCTCCCGAGTGAGCCACGGGCCGGCCCTGGGCCTTCGTTTCTTGAAGCTGCCAAGTGTCCTTCAATATAGGTCTTCATGCACAAAATTATCCACAAAATGATTGTGGGCTCATATGCTATGTTAAACTTCATTTTTGTTTGTGTATTTAAAAGAGAAAATAAAAATACTTAGTAGGGAGTTACACACACATCCAGAGTGCCTTCCCACTCTGCTCATGGGCTTATCTCCCTTTCTGGGGAGTCCGAACTGGAAAGGCCTGATCCTTAGCTGCTGGGGACCTGGGGCAGCCCGAGATAATGACATAATTAACACCTGCACCAGGCACTTTTGATCTTCAAGGAGCTGAGCCCACATGGCTGAGGCTGTTTTTGGATTAATTGCCCAGAACGAAGAAAGCCTTGCCCAGAGATAAAGGGAAATGTGGTGTTTCGTCATTACAAATTGTTCTGAAATCCGCTCTGGCACCAGGGCAGAGGGCTGGATTCAGGAACCCAGCTGGCCCCACCTGCACAACCCTGGCTCAGGCAGCCAGCCAGCAGTGCCCTTGCCAGGGGGCACCACAGTACAGTAGGGGTGTGTGTGTCGCTGATGCTTCTTCTGGGTAAGAGGGCTGCTTACTGACTATGGAGACAGTCATACAGGGTGACAGTTACTGGCCTCCCATTTTCCAGATGAGGAAACTGAGACTCAGGGCAGTCTAGGGATGAATCACACAAACAAGGCCAAGGTCAAGGGACAGAAAGCAGACCGAACTTGGATGTGTCCCTCCCCTGCCCATTGCATCTCGGGACTGGGGATCAGGTGGGTGTGGGCTCCAGTCCTGGTACCACCCTTGTTGCTGGGTGGCCATATCATCCTCCATATACCTGCCTATAAATTGTAGGTACAAATGCCACCTGTAATTCTGATTTGGTGTGTTTAGAGAGATTTGCATAGAGAAGCCCATGGGATCATAAGCCCCACCGCATGGGACTCTGCCACTCACCAACTCTGGGACTCTGGACAACAAGAGGTGGTGTTAACTCTACTTCTTAGGGCTGTGTGTGAGTGTGGAATGAAAATACAGGGGAAAAGCTTAGTACCGAGCCTGGCACAAAGTTCCCACTAATCACTACTACTAATAACAATGACAGCAATAAATTGAGCCCCTACTGCTGCCAAGCTGGGGGAGGGCACGGGCGATGCAGCCTTGAGTAGGGATGGGGTAGGGTGGGTGTTAAGTTGAAATGCTGGTCTGCACACTCACAAAAGCGCTGGGCGCCCTGACAGTTTCTTCATAAAGGTTGGTCGTCTGCCTTCCTCATCTTACTCTGCCCTTAGGAAGGACCAAGGCCCTTTCCACTCCTCCCTGGGGACTGGGGGTCTTGGGCGGTGGCGGGAGGGAACTAGCAAGGGGCAGACGTCCGGCCAGTCATCCCGGCTGCGCAGCAGCACCACTGAACCTATTTGGAGCACCTGACTCACCTTAATTATGGGCCCGCAGGCATGTCGGGGCGCGCCAGGGACGCCCAGGATAGGCTGGAACCACTGGCTCCGGGGGCGACCGGACATCCCAGGACTGCCAGGTGCACCTTCACCTCCCACCAGCACCTCCTCCCCGCTCCGCTCCGGGAGCTCCCCGCAGCGCCCTCTTCTTCCGTCTGGGCCCTCTGGTTGGGCTGGGGCGCCCGAAGACTCACGGACACGCGCCGGGGCTTGAGGTCAGATTTTTTCGGGGGCTGAGCGCTGAGCCCATCTTCCTCCAGCACAAAGTCAGGAATCGGTCCCGGGTCGGCTCGTCTGTCTGATGGGCCTGGGCGGGGATGCCCCGCGGAGCCTGGAACGCCGCGCCCACGCGCTGGGGCAGCGGCCGCCCACGCCTCCTCCGACTCCAAAGTATATTTAGCCTCATTATCAAATGTTTGCAGTGAACCGTGTGAACCGCCTAATAGCGGCTGGAAGTGAAACTCGATTCCCGGCCAGAAAGAAGCATGTGACTACTCCCATCTGCAAGGATCACCGACGGGGCGGGCGGGGCAGGTGCTGTAGCGACCGCGCGCAAAACACCGCCGGCCTGTCGTCCGGTTGCACCGTCCTCTCTCTGGGCCCAGCACCCGAAACGCGTCTCTTCACTACGGGTGGGGCAGGTGCTGTAGAGACCGCGCGCAAAACACCGCCAGCCTGTCGTCCGGTTGCACCGTCCTCTCTCTGGGCCCAGCACCCGAAACGCGTCTCTTCACTCAACCCCCTTCTCCAGGGGCTGAAATGAGGATTGGGTTTGAATGGGGGGGGAGGGGGGAGGGCTGTTAGGGGAAGAATCAGGACCAGGAAAAGTGGTTCGCGCGGGCGTGGGTTCTCATCCAGACCTCTTGGTTAAGTCATTCCTATGGTCTCAATTTCCCGTTCTCAGTAACAGGGCTTCTAGGGATCCATGTCTTCCTGTTCTTCGGAGGATCCGGGGGAGGATCAGGTAGGGTGGGGTAGGGCGATGTCCTTGTTCCAGGCCAGGGCCGACCTCGAGGCTCTGGGGCGCCTTGTGTCCCGAGTCTCCCCCAAAGGCGGCTATCGCGCGGCCACCCTGTTTTTGCCACCCTCGCGCGGCCGCTGTTGTTGTGGTCGCTATGACGACGGGTCGCAGTTTTATTTTTAATAGCGGCCGGCGATTAGAGAGATGCCTGCGCCACTTTCCCCGCAGCTCTCTTGTCTGCGGGTCGTGCACCCAAGCCCGCCCCTGCTCCCCGCACTCGCTGTGGCCCGAGATTCCCGTCGAAGGCGTCCCCAGATCTCCCCTCCCGGGGTGGGCGCCCCTCTAGGGCCAGGCCGGGAAGGGGAGCAGAGGGAGGCCCTCATCTAGGTCCTCTGAGGCAGCGGGGACCCCCAGAAACTCGTGAGCCTCTATACGGGGGTGTGGCTACCCGGTTCACTGTACAACGCGACCTTCCTCCTTGATCCCCACACCCGCTGTCACACCGCGTCCCCTAGTCCCCTGTGCCCTTGGGGAACCCAAGGCTCAGCGGGACACGATACACGCAATTCCCAGGATAAGGTGAGGGCTCAGACCCAGGTGCAGCCTGGAACCCGGCCGTGCGAGTTCGGTAGCCTTCCAGAGACCATCCAGGGGCTCTCCCTCCCCAACCTTCCACACGGACAAGGCCTGGCTTTCAGGTGCTTCTCAGTCCTTCCAAGTTTTCCCTTGTCTGCCTCGGTCCTTCTTCCTCATGACCACCCGGAGAGTGTGCTTGACGGGGGTGGGGGTGGGGAGTCGCGGCATGGGGCTGCGGCCGGAGGAGGCAAGGATGTGGGGGGTGGGGAGCTGCAGGTTTATGCAGGCGAGGGGAAAGACGCGTATAGACGCGGGCCCACTGGGAGCAGCAGGAGAGGCCCTGCTCCCCAGGGATTTGGGGAAAGGTGGGCGTCCCCCAAGCGCCCTCCGCGCTCGCGCTCGGCCTTTGAAATTGTGGAGCAGGACAAACTGGGGTTGAAACACCGCCCTCGGGGCTGCGCCTTTACGGCCTTTGTTTGGCGGGAGGGCGGCCGTGGCGGGGGCGCGGGCTTAATCCACAGGACGGGTGGGGGAGGGGGGATGATGGCTGGGGCGGGCGGAATTCTCCGCGGCAGCTCACCCACCCGCAAGGGCGTCTCTTAGTCTTCAGGGACCTAGGCCGCCCGGCTTTGGAGTCCGCACGGCCTGCCATCCCTCTAGCCGTGGTACTAGGGTACGTACGCCCCCTCGAAGAGGCACACTGGTGGGCATCTGGGCCCGCTGTCGGGGTCCGATCCCACGAGGTCTATGCAGACGGAATCCACCCTGCCCCGGCGCACCCGCCTTATCGCGGCGGGGGAGCCGTCCAGCAGCGCGCAGACCTCGGTCTCCGCGAGCGTCCTCCCCCGCATCGCGCTCTGTGATGCGCCTTGGCCGGAGGTGGCGCTCTGTGCGCCCAGCGGATCCCGAGGCGGGAAGCTCCGAACCCGGGCGTTCTTCAGAAGAGGCTCCTTTTTCTTCCTTCCTTCTACCCCCTCGAGTTCCCAGCTCAGGGCGCGGCCCTGCCTTCTGCGAGGGCATGGGGTGTTGGGGGATGTGGGGTTCCAGGGTGGGGATGAGGCAGGCTGCAGCCCTTCCCTCGACTTGGGTTCGCTCCCATCACGAAGTGTGGGTGGAGGTTCCTCATTCAGATGCCCCAGGTTTCGGATCTTGGGCGGGGGCGCGTGGCAGCCGCCAGGTGAGTGCCCCAGACGCGCCCCTAAACCCGCCCCATCGCTCCCCAGAGACTTACTCCCCCTCCTTTTATGGAGAGGGGAAGGCAGGGGCCCTGGATCCAAACGGTGGAAAGCGGCCCGAGCGCCGGGGCGGGGGCCGGGGGCCGGCTCTCTTGCCCTTTTTGGCGCAGCAGCTCTGGGCGCTGCCCTCTGCCGCCACTGGGGCCCGAGAGAGGCGAGCCGGCGACGGCGGCGCTTCTGCGGCGGCCTCCTCCCCTCCCCGCCCGGTGCCGCAGGATTGCAGCTGGCACTGGAGGGTGGGCAAGCTCGAGGGAGGGGCGCGCGGGGAGCCCCGGCGCCTGTGCTTGGAGCCGGGCGCGGGGCTTTGATGGATTTAGCTGCCTGCGTGAGCGCGTGTGTACTCACTGCAGCGGTGGTGGCGGCCGGGCCTT